GATTTAGGCAAAGCATCCTCAGGCTCAGTCTGAGTAACTTTAGCCTTTGGTTGGGCCTTCTTAATTCTTTTTGGCTTCGGTAGAGGAAGGGTTTGTGCTAGCTGCTCATCAACAGATGATGGGATGCTAGCCAAAAGGTCTTTTGCAACTGGTTTTGGGCGGCCCATCTCGGCAGTAAGGACAAGACGTTGCCGGCGTTTTTGTTCTGGTATTGGGACCAGGTATGGAGCCGAAGTTGATGGCTGATCAGCTGGATCGGATGTAGATCCTTGATCTGTTCGTGATGTGGATGCAGTCAATGGAGTTGTAGCAGAGGGTGGAGAAAGGCTTTTCTTCCTTCTTTTGGGAACGTCGGGCAAAGTTGACTTATATAATGGAATAAAATTGAGAAGCAGAGGTGCTTTCCTTTTATGAATAGGCAAGTCCAAAAGCATCTTCAAATCTTTGCTAGGACAGAAAGACTCACGAAAGCCCTTTGGTGGCTTACGAACAGCTGCAAGAATCACAAGACGTCAGAAACAGATAAGGTATTTGAGACTTTGAAAGAAAACAGGTAAATCAGAACGCTGGGCTCTTACCCTTGCCCTCTAAAATCGATCGAGGAAGAGGGAAGAGATGGTGGTCCTCGTCTGGAGCAAACTCCCAATTTTCTGAGATAATGAAATAGTCATCTCCAACCCCCTTGTTGGAGTCTGGGAGGTCGGCTACGATTTTGAATTCTGTAGACCTCGGCTTAAGGTAATAAATGTAGCCTTTTTCTTTCAAATTAAGGGCACACATGGTATAGCAGTACTGGATATCGGCTACGGTAATCCTAGCATTTTCCCGTTTAGCTAAGGCAATGATGCCATTGATCACTCGGTAGAAATTGATTGCCAGTTGCATGGGGTTCAACTTATAATAGTGAAGAATCTCGCGAAAAAGGATGTTGAATGGGAGCCGAAGTCCACACTCAGTAAAAGCTACAATGGGAAAGGGCATCGAATCATCTGTGGGCATGATAGAGTCGTTATCTCCAGCCAGCCTCAGATGGACATTGGCAGGAATGGAGAACTCTTGCCTAAAGTACTCAAGTTTGGTCGGGGTGTCTGCCCTATGTCTCCACATACCTATGACGTCGGCCTAGGTTAGAAGAGTTGGGTTTCGGAAGAAAGATGTTTTACAGAGGGTTATTGGGACCCCAGGAAAACCTAGGTATGAATTGAAGCAAGAATTTGTAAAGATTGTTTTAGTTTTTTTCTAAGGACTGACGGGTTCCACAGTCAAGTCCCAAACCTAAACCTATAAGGACGAAGATTGAAGGCACAAATCTGGAAAACAAAAAACAAAGGCGAAGTTTCCGAATCAAGAAACAGAGATGGACTATCAAAAACATGAAGAATACAAAGGGTTGAAGGCCAAGAACAGTGGCAAGACGTGCAAGAAAATTGTGAACAGTACATGTATTCAAGGCATAAGCAAAAAGTAAAATCAACGCACTCAGATGTATGATTCACAAATTAGATGTTTGAGCAAGGCAGTAATAACAAGAAATTCTAGAAAAGATCAAAAGCTGGAATACAAAGAAAACAGTTGCTTACTTGAAAATATGAAGCCGGTGTAAAGATTGCCGAAGTCAGACGACGGTCGGGGAGGCAACGAAATGGTGCAAAACACACCGGAAGCGGTGAGCGGAATAAATTTCAGAGCAAGGAAGCTTGAACAATGGCGGACTAAAGAAGAGAAAGTTAGAGAGAGAAAAAGCGAAGAGAAATCAGATGCAAAAGTGAAAAGTGAAGAAAGAGGGAAATGTTTTGTCAAAAACTTGAAACAGCGGCAAAAGAGGATAATAAATGCGCCTGGAACAACGCACACGTCAGACGGGGCACACAGAAAGAAACGTGGTTTACAGGCGCGTCGCAAACACGATCCAATGAGGATAAAACGCGTGAGTAAAATAGTTGAAAAATAATGTGTGACAGATCATGCACGCGATGGAGTTCATTAGAATTTTTTGCTCTTGAAAGAAGACATGTCGGCCTAAAATGAATGATCTCGGCTGAGGAGTTCTTGAGCCGATGTACAGGAAGAAATACTGATATAGGTTCCATCACCTCAGGATACCGAGGTAATAGAACCTAGGGGGCAGTTGTGGGGATATATTTTATGAGTACCAACACGTGGCAAGGTGACGCCGATGTGTCAGCCGAGGTGCCACGTGTCCTGGTCATTGTGCCGAGGTTATCACGGCGTTGCCGAGGTTATCTCCGAAGATATCGGAATCCGAGATAAATGGATAAGGGACAAGAGTCCTAGAATAAAGAGGAGACTTAGCCAAGATAAGGATAAAGCTCTTAGGAATTTTATCTTTATCCCTGAAGGAGTCCAAAGTAAATACTAAATAGGAATCCATAGAAGTCAGGCTTCTATTGGGATTAGGATTGAGGTAACTATAAAAGAGAGGCACCCCTGTGGGTCTAAGGTACGCAATTTATGCTTTGAGCAGTGAATTTAACACTTGATTATCTTTGAGAAATATACTGACTTGATCGTCGGAGTGCCCTCGGGTGGAAGAACCACCGCCGGAACCTTCTCTTTCTGTTACAGGTTAGCTAAAGCCATCTATTCTGCCAGTGCTCTCTAGCTGATTACTAAGCGGGCAGTGTGATCAAAAAATCACTCACACACATGTCATTCTCGTCTAGGACTCTGCACTTTCTTCTAGAATAATCGTCTTTTTCCAAATCGAATCTTCGTGCATTAAATTATTGTTTTGTCTTTTGTTAGTTTGGTCCACCCTTTGGGATAGTTCTCTTGATGACATCCCCCCACTTCCTCGGACCCCCATGCTCATATTTAATGACACTTTTCCTTGTGATGCCGATGAGTCTGTCCTTTTATGATAAGAAATTGTCCCTCTCAAATGGACCATACCTGGTGGTGGTAACAGTGGCAATTGTGGTTCTTCGTTGTGTGGTTGTACCTCATTTTTCTCACCCTCTAATTCTACTGTTGTTGTAGATGTTGATTTGATTATCATTTATGGTGTCTTTGTCATTATCACCTCATTTGGTGGTTGACTAACTATATCGGGATTGTCTATTGATTTTCTTTGGGAAAATGATAGATGAGGCAATTTTTTTTTCGTGTTATACATAAAAATGAAACAAGAGCAAATATGGAAACCATGCTTGCAATGAATAGCGATAATGATATGATCGGATGGAGTGATGGATTCTCGCCCATGAGAATTTTTCTTCCCATGATGAGATTATAAGAAGAAAAAAAACTAACTCAATCCCTCTTTCTTGATTTCTTTTGCGATAATCAGATTTTTTTTTTTGTCCCAAGAAAATTGCATGAATTGAGGAATAATAAAAGGAGAAAATCAAATGTTGAAAGGCATGGTGATGTTATTTTTAGCAATGTTGACAGTTAAGTTGGTTGATTCTTAGGAACATATACTTGAATCCAACACATCATCACTATACACCTCGCAGCTAAATAAGTTGCAATGATCAAGGCCTACATTCGTCCTGGCTAGGATTGGGCCTTGTGTTGGGTTAAGGTGAAGCCTTTTCAAAGTCCACTTTTGAGTTTATTTTACAGATTGTCCAATGTATCAAAATACCCTTATTCTCATATTTTTTATTTTCCTAAAATACCCTCATAGTTGGAAAGCGACACAATAGTTTCATTTTTTTAATTTTTTTTGGGATTGTTGGTGTGATTCTTGCATGTGTCAACCCCAACAATACTTTTGGAATTCCTAGTCCAAATATTGAATAATAGAGACAATTTCATTGTAAATTTTAAAAAAACATAGACATACAACATCAAATTGTAAATACAACAGAAAGAAGACATTTAAAGTTGTTATGCTCACATTAAACCACCAGTGTAAGGGACTCCAGTTGTAGGCAACCAGCTATTTCCAAATCCTTGCTGGCACGCTCGCATTTATGATATTTTCCTTCGTAAAGATGATTTTGGTCCTTTGTACCACCTTCGAAGCTTGTTACTAGTCCGTAATAGCTAGCATTCGCGACATCTAGTCATAATTTCATACTCATTCGAAACACTTCATTGGTGCTATTATATCATTCGAAGCACTTAGTTGATATTATTTGAAGCATTTTATTACTTGGATTAGTCATGTGCTTGGTTCGGCCCTTCAAAAATTCAAGTAAACATCATTTTTAAGGGTCATAACGTTTTCAAAATTGGATATCACGGTTAGTAGAGGCCGGTCTTCGGACCGGGCGAAAGGGGGTGCTCATAGCTGACCTTCCCCGATCGTACCCAAGCTCCCGAGCCGAGACAACTCCGGTGATGACGGACATGTGGCCTTCGGCACCGAGTCAGGGTTTCCTAAATTTCCCCATTTTAAAAATATTTAGGTGGCGACTCTGTATCTGGCAAAGCAGTCCATGTTTGGCACTACTTTTTCAAAAAAATCTGTTTCTCAAAACGATTTTCCAGATTTGGACTCTTTGGTTCAGATTAAGAACCGCGACAACAAAATCGAGTCCGAACTGTAGCATGAGGCCCACGGGCGCGTCTACAGTAGCAATTTACAAGATGAAGTTAAACCGAAGTAATGCTTAACGCTTGTTGAAATTTGTAGCAATTTACAAGCAATTCACTGTTTAGCACTTGTTAAAACTTAAGAAAAATTTACAAAGTTGAGACTAAACCAGTATATGTTTATCCTTCTTGAAATTTATAAGCAACTTGCAAGACAAGTACTTGCCGAGGTCAATCGTCAGGTGGTATAACCGAGGTGTGTCACCGCGAGAAGATTGTACAAAGAAGGAAGAATATATAAGACATGCAAAAATATTCTAAGTATAGAATCATACAAGATCAGTTAGAAGAAGACAAAGATGCAAGCACTTAGAAAAGAAAAGATGTATTAGCATTCACCAAGAAAAAGGGCACGACGGCCATACAAAACGCCTACATTCTTCCAAAAGATAAAGAAGAAACAAAATACAAGTAAGCAAAAGAAAAACATAAAGCTAAGACTCTTCTCCATCAGTTGGTTGAATTTGAAGATCAGATGCTTGTTGAGAAAACATCTCAGCAGCCTTATCCGCCGCTATCTCCGCATCAATTTCTTGCAGAGTTTCTTCAACACTCTTGTCCGCAGAGGAAATGTCGGCTGGTGCATTCTCGGGAACAACTTCTATGGGAACCTCATCACCTTCCTCATCTTGAGTCAAGTCTAGGACTTGCTCATTCTGAGGGGAGGACTTGGCCTCATCAGCATTCTTGGGTTTTCTCATTAAAGCCTCATCTTCTTCCTCATCACCATCCTCAGACTCGGATTCGCCGACGTCTTGACTCGGAGTTGAGGCTGGAGGAAATAGAAGAGGGATAAGGTCGGCATTTCTGAAGGGTGAGTCCTTGGGGACATTGAGCTTCTTTAGAAGAGACATCCAACCAAGGGTGAAACCCTTGTTGCATGCCTGCTTCACTTGAATCTCATAGGCCTCCATGACATCGGCCATTCCTTGAGCATATGCCTTTTCATCAGCTTCTTTGATTTCGGCGTCTTTGGTGACCAGGGCCTCCTGAAGCTCCTTTTCAGCCTGGGCCATTTTCTCATCGGCCTCTTTTCTCTGGGACTCAACAACCTTCCTTATGGCCTCGGTAGAATCGACCTTCTCTTCGGCCTCAGTCTGGGCTTTGATTGCAGCCTCGGCTTGGTCTTCTAATTTTTTCAACTTTGACTGAAGACCTTTGTTAGTCTTTTGAAGAGAAAAGAATTCCTTCTTCATATCAACCAGCTTTTGTCGATTTTCAAAAGACTAAACAGAAAAGGAGTGAGCATGCTGGATTGCCTGAAAAAGCACAAGGCAAAAATTAGTACAAAGTTTTCTAAATACAAAATAGAAAGAGGAAAACTACCAAGAAGAAGACACTTACTTGAACGGAGCGTTGAAGCATCAACGCATAATTCTCGTACTCACTCAACTCGGCGTTGCGATCAAGATCGCCAGGGAGAAGCAGAGCTGTGCTAAGGGCTATGCCGACATTTATATCCACGGCACTATCGTTAGCCATAACTGGCTTATCCTCCAGAGTAATTTTTGGTGCCCAATGAGCATTATTCTTTTTAGACCCCGAAGTCGTAGCGGAAGAAGACCTCAGTCTTTTGGATTTTGGGGACTCGGATGGCTGGGCTTCGGAGCACCTCTTCCCAGTAGAGGGTTGAGGTTTGTCACTCTCAGCCAACTTTGATTTAGGCAAAGCATCCTCAGACTCAGTCTGAGTAACTTTAGCCTTTGGTTGGGCCTTCTTAATTCTTTTTGGCTTCGGTGGAGGAAGGGTTTGTGCTAGCTGCTCATCAACAGATGATGGGATGCTGGCCAAAAGGTCTTTTGCAACTGGTTTTGGGCGGCCCATCTCGGCAGTAAGGACAAGACGTCGCCGACGTTTTCGTTCTGGTATTGGGACCAAGTATGGAGCCGAAGTTGATGGCTGATCAGCTGGATCGGATGTAGATCCTTGATCTGTTCGTGATGTGGATGCAGTCAATGGAGTTGTAGCAGAGGGTGGAGAAAGGCTTTTCTTCCTCCTCCTTTTAGGAACGTCGGGCAAATTGTTGAAATTTGTAGCAATTTACAAGTTGAAGTTAAACCAAAATAATGCTTAACGCTTGTTGAAATTTGTAGCAATTTACAAGTTGAAGTTAAT